CTCCTCTTTGTTCTATGATCTCTGACCTTAGAATTAATAACTTATTTGGTCGTCCTTGGTCGTCCTTGGTTGTTCAAAATGATTTAAGTAATAAAACTTGCATTTACGACAAGTCAGGCTTATATAAACTCACATATGTAGTATAATTGTTTATAAAATATTTTTTTTATGATGAAGAGAATCTCCATTTTGAAGAATCCATAATAGGCTTCTTTTTGAGTAACACCCTTTCGTTTGAAAATGCTGGTAGAAGGGATCCGTAAATTGGCCTAACCGTACACTGAAGGGCGATTTCTTTGGACCTGTGACTGTTGGAGTATGTAAAGAAGATCTCGGCTCACTGCCCTGTGGCCTTGATAAATCAGTTCTGGAAACCTGCTGGTATTGTGTCCTTTATCTTCAAGGCAAGCATCCAAGTGAATTCGAAGTAGACCTAGCTTCTGAACTTAGCATACATACTGATATAAAAATACTAATTTACATGCATTCAGAAATGCAAAAATTCACATTCGCACATACAAATATACGTGCATTTAAGCATACAAGTTTACCTAATGGTAAACTATTCTGGCCTTTGTGATCCTCTGTTCCTACAACCCGAGGTGTACATATCTCGGCAACTTTTGTAAACTGATCCCAGGTTTGACTCCCCTCACTGTGATCACTTCCTTTTGATCGCCATTTGTCCTTCAGTATGCGGGGATTTAGGCTAAACATATCAGAAGTAGTGAATACGAGTGGGTATATTGACAAGTTTACAATAAATTGGCTTTTACAAAAGGACCAAGGCCCCTAAATGCATACAGACTGAAAATCGGAATAGCGATGAACATGATACTAAGAAACCTAAGACTGATAATCACAGTATTATGGAAAGAGGATTTGGATAAATTAAATATGAAGAGAGGTAGGGTTTCAAAAGAACCTCGTATTAGAATGATGTTGTTGTACCTTTCATTTTATTTGACTCATAAATCTTCCTTCTGGGTATCCAAAGAAGCATTACTTTGAAATCGGAACTAGTGGGTTGTGGGAAAAATACGACCTAAGCCCATGGTTCTGCGGCTATAGTTACTGCATTCTGGGCTTTCGTCTGCCATGTGGCAAACATTTTCAGAGCCAAAAAGCATTATTTACAAAATAACACTGACCGAAAACACTAAGATAAGAAAAGTTAATGTATAAATAAATAAATAAATGTATATATATATACATCAGAGTTTATTTATCATTATTATCATTATATAATTTTGCAATTGGATTAGGATTAGCTAACGAATAAGAAGTATAGCTTGGAACAATCTTGAGCCTGATTTCGTCAACTCACGCTTGAATATTGCATACAAACAGTTCATATGGATTTACAAAGTTTAAACATTTGTCAACATTGCAGTTGTGAACACATCCACCTACTTTTACATGCATCAACTTCAACTAACTGCATATCCTTAGCCGACTAAATAATAGGATACCTCTTATATTATGTATAAGAAGTAAGTAGTAGTTAAGCCAGCCTCTTTTCTTGGTTTAGCGTATTGATGCATTTTTCGCAAATGATGTTTTCCCGATCAGACGATGTCTGCCATATGACAAAAAAAAGTTTACCATGCATTGGTCTGGGTTGCAAGACGGTTGGCCGAGTTCTTTTTTGCGCAATCCAGTAGTCATATCTGCAAATCAAGCTTTATTCAGTTTCTGGTGAAGCCAAACCATGAATCTCTTCCCTCCGCCCTTTCAAATAAGATGAAAGGTTAGCCGATAGGAAAACTTATGTTTAACGTTTGGGGAGGCAAGTGGAAGGGCTTCATTAATTGGAAATGACTGTAGACTTGTGTGCGTAAGTCCTCGGCTCACCGTCCCACGACTCCGATGAAGTCGTACTGAGCTTGCGCCCGTCACGTGAAGGGCATTGTCAGAGCAGGACAGCACGCATTACGATAGTTCTCCAAAAAACAGAGACAAGAAAGGTAGCCAGTTGCAATTGTGCTTACTTCATTTAGTCCAAATTTGTCCACTTAATGAGGCATCTCATTATTTTGTCGCCTATTAAACATGACGAAACATGTGTTTACTTTAACAATCAGGAAAAGTTACTGATTTTTGAGGTCACCATGTATTTTTAGTGTAAGAATATTTTAAAACTGAACTCAATTATTGTTGTGGGGACTTTCATCTTGTATGACAGTGCTTGATTGCCCTCATCGGAATACAACGCCGATTCCGGTAGTTCTGCAGCCATTTACATTTAATACGAAGTTCATGTTGATACAGTACGCGAGACATCCTGTCTAGGTTTTAATGAAAACGGGTTAAGCTTTCTTCCATCCTATGATGAACATTGTCAGAGCTTGAACGCATTCCTGCGACTTGAGACTTTTGCCAGAATGATTTTCTGCTCTGCTGATGTCCATCACATAATGGACTAAAGCTCGACTCAGTTTTATCCGAAATGAACGAGAACTATAGAAATCGGCCGTCGTCTTCATATGAGATATGAACCTCTTCGTCGTGCACTTTAATACAGAATGAAAGTCTTCATAAAAATTTCGTCTTAAAGAGTTTCACCGATATCCAGCTACTCATAACAGTAACTCAAGAATTACTGACATTTTCGAAACATGCTCATCCTAAGGATGAATTATGTTAGGCTTATTTAAAGTGAGTATCGGCCATTCTTGAATAAGAGTGGATATCTCACAGTTGGACGACATTTTCACGGTAATGGATAACCAGCTATGCTTTAATATGCAATTGCTTTTTTTGATAATCCTCACTTGACTTCGGATAACGGCCCTCATCTGGGCCATCCGAATAGATGACGAAGTTGCTTCATTGCCTTTATTACGTTGATAATCTACGAATAAAAGTTGGGTTTCGAGGAATCTTTTGGCTTAAAATTGTTGAGCTTATTTCCATGTCGAATGGAATTGTGTGTAATGAAGATATTCGTATTTCTATGCCAACAGAATAGACGACGACGGATTTCTTTTGGCTAACTGTAGATTTGCTTTACAGGAAAATTTTTGCTGAAGCTATCCCAGAAGAAATCTTCTTCGATTACGATGAAATCAATAACATTTGTCTTAATACAGCGGTCATTCATATAACCACATTCAGATTAACTAATCAAGAAGTCTTATCGGCTTCTCCTAACGTGGTGTGTATATTTCCTAAACTTGTACATTTGATTTGTTCAAGCCATATGGTACTTCAGAAGAAGGTATGGCTATATGCCTTCATGTGTATGTACATGCAAGAAATTCGGTAGAAGCCGTCTCAAAGGCAATCTCCATCGATTTCAGTGAAAATGTGCTAAGTTCTCATAGAAGAACTGCATTTATCCTATATCGTTTAAAATGATGACAGCCTGGTGATTTAATTTTTTCATAATCCTAAGAGTAGGCCTCATGTTTCCATTGAATTTCGCAAATACAACTTTGTTTAATCGACAATCCCGCTAGAGCATTACATTATTCGAGATGTACTCACTCTACTTTTTTTAAGATGATGAAGGACTGTTAGTTGAATTTTCCTACAATGCTATGAGTAGAGCTGACGTTTACATTGAATTTCGCATAACCTTGCTTTCCCAAAATGTGTTCTCACCCAAGCTGAAGTAGACTGCTGTTTCGACCTCGCCTAGGTCTTATCAACATCTCAAGCGCGAGTCGAATCATGACAATGCAGTGAGTAATCTTGACACGGTAAACACTAAACCACACTGCCATGAGTTCCTTTGGGTCACAGGGCAGATGTGAATTTCAAGGAAGGTCAAGCATCTGTTCGTATCATCTTCTGTAGTGGGGTTTTCGATTAAGCAAAGTTATATTTGTTATGATAATCGACTGCATTACTTAAGTTTCCTTTAATAAATAGGGTTTCAAGACTACCATTAAATCAGTTATGCTGTTTTCTGAAATTCGAGTCTCACTGGGGGCTCTGGTGAGACCTAGGCGAGGTCGGAACTGTAGAACAGTCTAAATGGGAATCCATTTCAGGAAGCAAGGTCATGTGAAATTCGTTGGAAACGTAAGGCCTACCTATACGATTGTGAGAAACTTCAACTACCAGTCCTTCATCACCCTGAATGAGATTAGCTTAATACATATGATATATATGATCTTCTAGTAGTCTCGAAAACCTACTTATACACAAAAATAGGCGTTAAGTTTTCGTTCTTCAAATGACGAGCATCACCAGAGCAGGATATCTTTGATACATTCATATTAAGTATGCCCTATCAAGTTGACTGGACTATAAACTGTATAATATGCAATTGGTTCTTTGCTTATCCCCACTTGACTTTGAATTTCGTCCCTTCTCTGGGCCAAGCGAGTAGAGCACAGATGCAGCCTCGGATGAGACGAAGTCGACTCTGTGCGTTTATTCTGTTTGGTCTATTCGGCCTGCTCGTCTGGATCCTCGAAGCCAGCCTGTCGAGTGAGCCAAGTGAGAACGAGGCCCACAATGACGGTCGAGTAGACGCGATACTTCGTATGTGCTTCCGGCCGGTGAGGTGTGAATTTAATCAGGTGGTGGAAAAGGATGCCGACTGCCTGTATCGGCACCTTGGCGCCAGGTTCACGGGCCAACGGCATCTGGAAAGGGAGATCAACGGCGTCGACTGGAGCTACAGTA